GTGACGAAAATAAAACAGTGTGAACTTAACTGGTTTTCTCACTGAAGTAAAAGCCCAAGATGCGTAAAAAGTGATGTCTAGCTGGGTATTTGCACAACCAATCATGTGTTTCATTGGACAGTACGTCATAAACACGTCTGAGATGGAAAAAAAGGAATGTCTTGTGGTTTTTAAGGAGATATTTAAACCAGTTTTGCCAAACCGGTCCAAGATGTGAGCCCCCCGAAAAAAATCCCTCAATCTACCTGACGATGTTGACTGCTGCTCAGACAAATATAGATGAATAATGTAAGAAAAACTGAAAAAATGACGCAAGCTCTAAAAAATTATTGGAATTTGACATTAGGAAGAAAGATTGTAAGAGGTTGAAAGATCATCGACAGTCATAAAGGGAAATGGGAGCCCATGTGGCACAGAGAATTGTAAAACGTAAATAAAAACTACAAGCTCAAAGCGCCGAGGAGACGGGCCAGGAGGACAGCGTACAATGCAGAGAGCTCCCGGATGTAGTGATGCAGGTAAAGAGAAGCACACTAAAGCACTCACCAGCCCCCTCCCTCTCCCAGGCTACATCCAATTAACTCACTGTCAAAGTGAACCATGTTGATAATTAGCGCAGAGTGGTCGTGTTGCAGCTGCAAGTGTGTCACCTTGTGGAACTGGGACACGTTGAGCTACAGGGAACGTCCACTCACAGCAGGGGACGCTTACACTCACGTGTGTTAAGCGAACGATCTAGTTGTCTGATGAAAAAACCCAATTACTGTTGTAAATGGGGTTTGTCACAGCTCCACCCTCCACTAACTAGTCTATCCCAGTTCTAATTCTGTCTCCTTTTGGCCCACTTCATTTCCATTTACCTGCCAACTATCAGAGCCTGTTTTCATTATCTCCCATTCATAAGGCTCACCGATTAGTTCAGTTCATTTGATCTAACTTTTAAAGTGTTTGTTGTAGATCTTCTTTAGCTGCAGAATTTCCCAAAGTGTATTTTCCGTCTCACTGAAGGTAGGACACTGCAGAGTTGGGTCCTAAATCTACGTTTCAGGCTAACACTGCTCTCTGCTGGATTATACCTGCATCACATATGTATGTATGTCAGGGATGGTACATGAAGTGCTTTGTTGAAATACATTTGGTAGTTATAGGCAGGCAAGTTTATTTATACAGCACATTGCAAGAACAAGGCAATTCAAAGTGCGTCAAATAAAACAATTAAAACCATCAAAACATGAGGCGAAATTAAATGAAATTCAAAGCCAATTAAGGGCATGATTGAAACATTAAAAAACAGACATTAAAATTTTAAACAAGCTTAAAATAGAATACAAGTTAAGAAATAAAAAAGTCTATTTATCCTTGAAGCTGGTTTAATTAAAGACAGCAGCGAACAGAAAGGTCTTCAGTCTTCATTTGAAGCAGATGAGAGTCTCAGCAGACCTGCAGATTTTTGGGAGTTTGTTCCAGATTTGCGGACAGGAAGCCAGGTTGAAGACCTCCGGACTGGAGTGATGTGATCCACTTCCTTGGTGTTAGTGAGGACTCGAGCCGCAGCGTTCTGAAGCAGCTGCAGCCGCCTGATTAACTTTCTAAAGACCTGTGAAAACATCGTTTCAACAGTCCAGTCCACTCGAGACAAATGCGTGGACCAGTTTCTCCAAATCCTGTTGAGACATACATCTTCTGATCCTGGATATTTCTCTTATGTTAAGATTTGTTAATGCCATGTGGCTGTTCAGATTGAGGTCTGAATCCATAACTACACCTGGATTTTCTTTTTTTGTTTGTAGTTTTTAACATCAGCGATTGAAGCTGAGCACTGACTCAGTCGCTCGTCCTTGGTCCCAAAGACAATTAATCGGTTTTATAATTCATATATGGTTAGCATCTCCTTCCCTTTCTGGTGGATATAACTTTCATGAAGAATGTAATTGCTATATTTCTATGGGTTCCACACACACACAAACAGATGGCAGGCGGCTGTTGTGTTAATTTCATAACTGCATTCAAATTTAAATGAAACGGTGCGCGTGGGAGTTGGTTTAGTGCAGTGGCTCCCAACTTTCGGTTAAACAAAGGGTTTAGAGATCCCGTTGGTTGAACTGGTCATACGCAGTTGAAATAAGAAGCTGGTGATAAAATGACACTAGTTTACTGTACTCTGTACTGCAATATAGCTTCATTCTTAAGAATTCCTCAAACCCGCACATGTACACACACACACACACACACACACACACACACATATGGACGTCTTATGACCCTTTAGTTTTAAGTAAGTCCACCTGCCGTGGTTCTTAAATAGTTTTGTGAAGAAATATGGCACTAGTGGGTGTAATAGGGTTGATGTGTTAGCGAGTATCCAGACTTCCTCTGCAGGGCCAGAGATTAGTGAAGGTTATATGAATCCATCCAAAAATATATGAGAGAAACATGCTTTGGTTACTGGCGGGATCAAATCCTCAGTGCGTGTTCAGCCGCAGGGATCTCTCTGTTTTTTAGTCTCTCTTTATCATTTTCAACTGCCTATAACTGTGCGCACAGTTATACGTCACATTTATCATAGTATTATAGACAAAAGGAGCACTCTGAGTGTTAAGGATAAAGTCCACAGACCAGGCGCACTGATATGTTGAACCAGTTAACGTTAACTGGCCATGAAGAAAACAGCCAGCGATGAGAACTGGTCAAGTGTGAAATGACAACAGTCTTTTAGCAGCACTCAAACTGATGTAATTGTGTGAGGTGCCACCAGAGGGCAAAATTGTAATTAAAAACACTTTATTATTGCGTATGAGATGAGATTATTTGTCTCACTCAGACAAAGGCGTATTTCCCTCCCTTTCCAAGACAGGAAAAAGATGTGCTGAACTTTGTCGGTAACAATGCGAGACAAGGGGAGGAAAACTTTATTCACATCTGGCATTACAGAAAACAAAGATTAGGTCAGAAAAGGTATGTCGAACAATAAAAGGTAATATTACAGATCTCAACTTAACCTTGAGTCACGTCCCAGGTAATCCGCCAGTCTGAGCCAATAAATCCTGCTGTCCTGTGATGACTGAAGACAGAGCCAGGAGAGGACGGCCTGATGGACAATGTCGTTGACATTGGACGAACGTTTGGCCAGAAGAATTTGATCATTTATCTCACTTAATGATTTGCGGATGAACACACATTCTTTAGAAATCAGACAAACCAAAGGGTACGCCAACCCGAGTCAGTATTCGAAGATAGACTAGGCCTCCACCAGAACGAATCCAAGCACTATTAAAGCACAGGAATGCTGAAAGATTACTCTTGATCCCAGCATAACACAACCGACCAACAGACCGCTGTCATTCCAGGCGAGGGTTTGTACGTCGATTCCTTCATACCGAGCTTACCGTCTGTGCAGGGAAAGATGAAAACAGTACAAATCTTCAGTGACTTTGTCTCACATGCCTTGCAGCAGCAGAGCATGTGCTTTGCTAGGGCCGGCCAACACTGAAAGCTTTGTTGCCAAAATATACAGTCTGCTCCCTATCGAAAGAAACATCATCTAGATGTATTATCCAACCAGGGGAAAGACGCCCGACATTACAAAGAGAATATAAAAGTCAGCATTGTGGTATTGTTTTTGTTAGTAGTTTCGTTATTGACACCATTTAACAAACAAGTACATTGTGCTGCATGTTTTTCTTAAGCCATGATACCTGCTGTACCGGGATTCGTACCTTTGTACGGGTTATACTTGGCGAAAGTCTCCCTGAGGTGTTAAATGCCAGCTGCGCCTGTAATTCGTCCCTTTCCGTCCAACTCACTTTGGTGTTGGGTGGGACATGATGTCATCTAAGTTTGCATGCACTCTATTTTTAACTTCTTCTTTTTTAAATCTAATATTCTTTTTTTCTTTTTATCCTTTATTTACTTTTATTCTAGCCCACAGCTTTCTACTTTACACTGTAGAGCTAAATTGTAAATATGTAAATTGAACATGCCATTTTTCTTTTTGTTTGTTTATTTGTCTAGTTTTCCATTGTCTCATTGTCTTACCGTCCAATGTTATGCACAAACGTTATGTTAAATGTCAAAGATTTTTTAGCAATAATAGTCTGATTCCTGATTTGTTTTGTTGAGCTTGTTGATGTTAATAATTCCATTGAAGTCAATAATTTTGTTTTCATACTTGATAACAACCAAAACTTGCTCTTACCATGTGCACATCAGAAGACAACATTTAGAAAACGTCTCAGTCAGGAAGGGGATCAGGTTTTATCTCCAAGAGATGCACTGCTACAATGTTGAGAGTTGAGTGAGAGTAGTTTTAACACATTTAAAGATGGCGCGTGATAACGGGAAGTAGCATATGTGATTTCCTGAAATTCAAGGCCTTCTTGGAAGTTTAAGTCCAAATACTGGAACTAGTTACTGAAAAAAGTGTTTTTCGTTTTGTCATTTGCAGACTTGGCGCTGGCTCTGTTTCAGTGAACTTGAATTTCACCTAATCCTTCTCTTTACTTCTCTTTACTGGGACCTTTAGAGTACAGGTTTATGAAAACAGATGGTCATAACATGGAATAATGGCAATGGCAAATTGTCTTTTTTTAAAGCAATCGTCTTGCATTGTTTTCAAAGAAACTGTTCATTTAAAGATTTCTTTTAAACCATTGAAACAGAACCATGCTGCAATGCACAGCACAGAATGACAGTGACACGTTGTTGGTTAAAAACTCTGACGGAAACTCTGTGTCTTGGCTCAAGAGGTCTGCCAGCCCTCCCATCTAGAAAGTCATTTATATATAGAGTGTGTGAAAAAAAAGTGTGAAAAAATAAGCTGATCTGAAACTAATCTAAAATTAGATATTAATCATTAAGTGTGAAAACAAAAGAGGGGAAAAAAATATGTTTGCGTAGACTGAATTAAATAAGCAAACTTGCAAGCACTTGTGGCCGGAATTGAATTTGCGACATATCCTGTCACTCTCTTACCAGCATCTTCACTTTATATTTAGAGACGACTCTGCAAGGGGCATTTTATATCTCAAAACCAGCTGGACAGCTAGCAGAGAGAGAATAGAGTGACCTGATACCTCATTGCCAACATTTTCCCTTTTTTGAAGTGCCGTTTTCTGTTTTTTATTTGGACATATTTTTCACTCTTGGTAAATTGTAAGTATATCTACAATAAAGTTAGGAGACATTGATCATTCTCTAAATGATTCTTCCATCCACATAAAGATGACATTTGAAGATAAATAACACTCGCTTATTCAGTATAGGCATCGAAGTATTTCCTCAGTGTATTAAAAATAACTAGGTATTGCGCTCAGTTGCAAGCTTCCATTACTGAGGTGCAGCTGAACTGAAACATGGATGGTTGGCTGATCAGCAATTGACCCATCTGACAGATGAAGACACGGCCGTTGGAGGACAAACACTATGTTACTACTCGTGCCACTAAAAATTTAATTAAGTTTGAAATTACTGTTGAAGCAGTTGATAACAGGTTTACTTTCAAGATCAAATGTTTAACTAATACACGACCATGCATGCATTGTTTATTGGGTATTTCGAAGAGCACATATAACACATCCACTTTAACAAATACACAGACAGAACATGGCTGTGCAGTTATATAGTAACTTATAAAGTCTTCTATGAGCTATTGTTTGGTTGACATCATCTTTCCAAATTTAAAATGCAAATACAACTTAAATTGCTTGTGTGTTTTGTTATCTACGTCATATTAAAGGCATCAGTACCCTGAGAAGCCAGTGTTGACTGTTTCCAGTGTACAGACAGGGGCTGAACCTGCTTTGTACTCTCTACGCACGTTAGCAGCAGCTACTAGAACCACATCATGGTAAGTCTTACACCAACACCACGGTAAAGTTGCATTCCAAAATGTGTTTATGTTAAATCTGTTGTCAAAACATTGTTCATAGGAGTTAGTTCCTATTCTTGCTCGCCTGTTTGATCTGTTTGTTGGATCTTCCCTCCCTTCCCTCATACTTCTCTTCCTCGTCACCTCATTTCTGCCTTATCCTTACCTCATTTTTTATTTTTTATTTCATGTACTTTTATGTAAATATTGTATTCTTATTCTTATTTGTATTTAAAAATTGGTCGGCTTTCCGGAAAGGCAAGTACAAGAATTTCAATACACAGGGTGTAAACAGTGTGTAAATGACAATAAAATCTTTGAATCTTCTGTCCTTTCTTGACATGGTGTCTATTTTACCCTTGTTCTGTTCTTTCCCGTCATCCCCTCCCGTCTTCTCGCCAGGTGCTGAATTGTACAGAAATCGTTGACGTGCTGGAGAGGTACTACCTGTCGCCGTCTTATGGCATCCAGTTCTGCATTGGCTTCCCTGGAAACCTTTTGGTTATACTCGGCTACATATTTTGTTTGCCAAAGTGGCAGAGCTGCAATATTTACCTCTTCAACCTGGCCGTCTCCGACCTTATTTTCCTCTGCACGCTGCCACGCCTCTCATACCTCTATGCAAATGACCAATCAGAGACCAGTCCCTACGCTTGCGTAATCAACCGCTATATCCTACACGTCAACCTTTACTCGTCCATCCTGTTCATGGTTTGGCTCAGCATGGACCGCTTCCTGCTGGTACGACATCCAACACAGAACCACTGGCTGCTGAGGCCACGGACGGCCCTGATCGTCTCCGCGCTGAGCTGGCTGGCCGTCAATGTGGAGGTCGCTCCGATGATATCACTGATGGTCCACGACCTTCGGAGTAGAAACTGGAGCCGCTGCAAGGACTTTGCCAGCCTTAGAGGAGATGTCGATGCGTTGGGCTACAGCCTGGGGCTAACCATGACCGGTTACCTTCTCCCTCTGCTTGGACTTTGTGGCTTTTCCTACAAAATCGCACATCTGCTACGTAACCAGGAAAGGGCCCTGCAGGGCAGGACGGGGTCATATAAGCGGCCTCTCAGGGTTGTTGTGTCGGCTGCAGTCATGTTCATGGTTATCTACACTCCGTACCATGTACTGAGGAATGTCAGAATAGCATCTCAACGGGCCTGGGCGGGGAGGGAGCTGTGCACTGAGAAGTATATAGAGGGCCTGTACATCGTGACCCGACCGTTGGCCTTCTTGCACAGCGTCATCAACCCTGTGTTCTACTTCCTGATGGGAGACAAGTTCAGGGAGATCCTTTTCACTAAGCTGAGAAAGCTGGTCAGGAAGAGACAGCAGCAAAGAGAGTCGAGCTGACTAAATCCAACACAAGGTTCCTACATACAGTATGAGGGGCATGTTGAGATCGTACATCCAAATTAAATAAATGCATTATCTGGATGAAAACAATTGCTTTTTTAAGAGTAGCACTCTGTTTCAGCAAGCATGGCAGTACAGTATGTGCTGTATGCTGGTTTGTATTTGTATCTGTATTTAACAAAAAAGAAGCACTATTGGTTATTGTTAGAAAATGTTTACCGTTGTGAAATCATTGAACAGGACATTTATTAAATGCTTGAAAGCATGAAGCAGAGTTGAAACACATACAAGTCATGATTCAAAGCTACTCAACGCTTTCCTTCTACAGCTTTGAGTTACATAGTCTGAGGTGACAAACATCTGTGTCCTCCTGCTCAGGGGAGGGGGGCTGGATCAGCTCCCACTGGTCATCCTCCACATCATTGTCATTCAGGATTTATGAAAAATTCACAACACGAGTTCCTTGGTAAAATATCTAGATCCTGCCTCACAAATCATCCTAAACTTCTGTTTATCACAGGAAAACCATGTATGAGTTCCAGAGGTCACAGACCTTCTGTTCACTCAGAAGAGTGAACCTTATTTTAATTTAGTTGTTGTATTTGGACAATTTTTGGTCATTTGTACTCATATTTTGTGCAATTGAATCAGTATTCCACTGTATTATTTTTAAATGCAATAAAGCATTACTCAATTAACAATAGTTGGAAGCTGTTTGTTATTTTTACGATAGACTTTTTCAGGACTTCAAGCAGTCAATATCTCTCCTTTCTGCATAGTTTAAATGGGACATTTTACAACTGAAGCATTGAAAAAGATGTTCTGAATTCAGTACCCTATTACTACTATTGTTTGCTTTAATTGTATATTTGTGTAAGAATCAATGTGTCAGCAGCATAGATGAGTTATTGTACAACCACAAACCCAAACTTCACCACCATCATTACAACGGAACATCTGTTTTTGTCTTTTAAAATACAAATCTCATCAGAATCAGAGGAATGATAAGCAATCAGTTTTTGTTTTTATTTTATTCCCTCGTCAATTACTCTGGACGAAGAACATCGTTTACTGTTAAAAAAGTTTGTTGTGTGTGAAATGTTAAAATGAGCCTGGGCCTTTTTTGACATTTTGTTCCGCGGAAAGATTGTTCTAATTTATTCCATTAGTGTTCTTATATCTGTGTCTTAAGCTTGATTCATGCTGATGTCTAAGCTCTTATGATAAGGCTCCTTTGAATAGAACAGTCAGTGACCCGTGGTGCTTATCAAGGCCCTAAATCCCCATCAAACTTCATATGGCTTTGCTCATATCACAAAATGATCGAGCCCTCCTTTTATTTATATCAGCATCTTTCCTGGAATGAGCAAAAGGAACAGGGAAATATTGGGCTGCGTTCTGCGTGACACTTTGAGTTCCATAATAAAAGCCGCAGGATTTATACTGAGAAGTTGATGAGACAAAGCAGTGGCAGTTCCTCTGAGGATATTACACTACCTAAAGCTCTGTATTATATTTTGGAAGATGCATTAGTGTTTGAGGGTGAACCAATGAGGACATTAAAGGACACTTGGTCCTCACACATATTTTTAGGCAGGTTGGCGGGTTTTCAGTTTCCGGTTTCAGAGCATTTACTCTAAGCAGTGATGATGTTATGTTTCAAAATGTACCTCAACAATGAACGAAAAAAATCAACCTTAACTGTGCCGTCTAATCTTACTTTGTTTGACCTTTGAAAAACTACATGACTTTTAAAATCTTAAGCTATAACATTGTTGCACGAAAACCGGAGAAAATCGTGTACACAATGTACGTAGTTGCATTAGCAGCGTGTGCGTGCTTACTCACATTCCTGTATGGGAACAGAGTACTATTTGTGTACTCTCTACACTGTACGTTGGTATAATCCAAGCAAAACCACTACGCATTGTTAAGAGTTTCAAGGAATCCATAATCCATTTCACGTTACGTTACTGCTATTAACTCTCATGTGCGCACATTTGCACACAAGAGCAGTAGAGAAGAATATGAGCAGCGTAGTGCAGCACACAGACAGTCCGCTACAACTGAGGCGTGGGCTGTTTTGTTAGAACTGTGCCGCTGAATGAGGTTGACCTTTTTGAATCATCCTTTTGCAAATAAATGATTTTTCTTTTTTTGAAGTCATGCATCATCCTCTCTGCTATCACGAGAATTGAATTGAATTGGGTTTTTTTTTCCAGCCCTCCTAGATAAAACACGAGAAGGTGTCTTTGGTGGATTCAGGGATTTATCAGTATGTTTGCAATTTAACTCTATACTCCCCCTCAGTTACGTGAGTAGCCGACTGATGCAACCTGAACTGCTTCCACTAAGTTTCCCAAAGTGGATTTGGTTTTATCTGAGTCAATCCAAACAGAATATAGCATATCATCCTCTTTACTTAGGTAGTATGTGTAATATAGAGCATCTGTCAACGTCATGTAGGATGACAAGACCTTTCGTTATCTCTTTTTCCTCTGTTCTTCTACACCATGTGCTGCTTTCTTCAGACTACATGGGATTTCTCTTCCACCACCCCCCCCCCCCACACACACACACACACACACGCACAAGCGATCAGCAGTAGATTAAATCAATTTATTGACACTGATGAAATTGAAATTCATAAAAATGATTCATCCAGAGGAATTTTAAATCTTTTGTTCCAAAAACAAAAACACATATTTTCAGTTGAGTGTAGCAGTGCCTCTGCGAATGAGTGTTAACCGACTTAATTCAAGAGTTACATACTCAATAGATACCGTGTACTCTCGGCTGAACGGTGATAACAGTGAATTTCAGGTGTTGTGTGTCGGCTGCGACTCTTTCTGAGCAGTGAAGCTGAAAGAACAGTGATAATTGAAACAACATTCAGTCAGGAGGATTATTTTGTGGTAACCTTTAAATAGCTATCACATGGCCTGAGAAGTCACAGGTTGATTTCACCCACCGGCAGAGAGATAAATGAGATAAAAGCGGGGGGACAAGTGAATGCTTTCAAGCCGCCTCATATGACTGTTGGCAACCACATATCCTCTCAGTGTTGTTGGACCAGAGATTCAAAAAACAAATCAACTGAAGTAAAAACTACACAAACAGAAACAGGCATGAAGTCTTAGTGCCAGTTAAATGTTACACATTTAATCATGAAACTGGCACTTGGTCTTACTCTGGCAACTTACTTTAACAAAGCAGCCTTTTTGAGATTGTCTATACACACACTACACAAAGGCATTCATATATTAGGAGCTATAGCAGCATATTTATAATTTATTTAAAGAGCGAGCATCACTACATAGCAGAATGATTATTCTATCTGGGCCAGTCACAGTTTCTGATGAAATGAGATGAGCAAACAACAGTCCCCAGAGTGTTGTTTTTTTTACCCCACGGTTGAAGCTACCGGCGGCAGCCGCAGATAATCCAATAAATATAGCAATAGCTTCACTCAATCAAGTCAACTTTTTGCTTTGCATAGACAGTTTGCTAGATAGCAAGATGTGAGCGATGTAACGGTGAACAAGCAAGCAAACGTTTTCTTCTACACACCTACGCTTGTGACAATGGCACTAACTCCGTCCGAGGTTATATACAGATGTCATATTTAAACAAGCAATCCATGTTTTGCTTTTTCATTATATATAGAGATGCATTGTCAATATAACTGCATTACAAATTCAGTCTGTCTGTATGTTAGAGGTGAGTAGAAATAACATTGATGTTTGTTTTAGGTTATAACTGAATGTGATTTAGATTTCATGATGTTTGGATCTTTCAATGACCTCTTTAAATTTTAATTGAAAACCCCCCTGATGCAGAAGGTTGACTTTTACTGAATGTCAAGCGGTTTTATTTTGCTCTGTAATAAAATCATACTAAAACAATGAACACACACCGACAACCCTGTACATCTGGTTACACTAGAATTGGGAGCTCACTGAGGCTTGAGATGTTCTATAAGTATTTGAACAAAAACAACTAAATTCATGCTCTAGGATGGTGTTTAGATCTAAATTAAATTAAAATTGAAAACTATATGAGGTTAAAAATGAAATAATACAATCTTCCCTGGTGCTTCATAAACATTCAACCGAAGAGCGTTGAATGACGGGTTTAATTGATAGACATCAATCACTGGTTATTCTACCTGCACTTATGTCATCTTTTTTATTTAGTTGCAGTTCATTATTACTTAATTCATCGTATTGTTCTTCATATCCTTTAATTAAACAGTATAGGTCCCTGAATACTTTGAGAATAGTACAGCAATAACCCTGAGATTGAAGATTTAATTGATTAACATCACATTTTGAAGTGTTCCATATTTTGTCCAAAATTGGTTGGTATCCAAAATGTTCTTTTCTGTTCATTTTGTCTTACAAATAAAACCGATGCCGATGCTGACATAACGTTCACTCTTCAATCTAAATATTTGATCAAACCAACAAGCACCTCCCTGTGTACCACATTAGTACAGGTTAGACATTTAAGGGCTTGTTCTTTCCTAATCAAAAAACACTGCTGAATTTAAACATAACACTTACGATGATACATGAACCAATACGCATAAGTTACATTTTTGGAAACACATCAAAACAATCTTAGTTTTCAGTATCAGCTGCACTCAATGTTAACTTTGGCGTAATCATGTTATTCTTGTGTGAAAATCCTTTCCTCCTTTTCCAAGACTTTGGATTCATAAAGCCCCCAAAAAGCTCTAATTTCTATTGTGGCACGCATTGCTAACTGACGGTATTGATAATCACATAATAGTTGTATAGGATCCACGAGAAGGTCTTGTGATGGAAAACAAGTATAAGTAACATCACAAAAGGCCAGTTTGATAAAAAAAAAACATAAACTATCCATAACATAAAACCCTTTGTGATATTCTCCCCTCAGCTCACTGAGTAGTACAGTGTTTGCTGGACCATGAACACAATCCTCTTCTACTATAGAGCACAATACTTCTGGTGTGTAATGTTCTTTTTACATCACCTTATGTACCGCAAAAATCATTTTCCCTACTGGTATTGAATGTGGTCCATGGGTGGAAAAACAGGAGAAGTTGATTATTTCTCAATATATTTACAGTAAGTTGGCATGACCAAAAAGAAGAAGCTGTACACCAGATGGGAAACAACAGTGACTTTAACCAAACACTGGTGCAATGTGTGGAGAAGTTGGAATGAATATTGATAGTCTGAAGTTTTGGGGTTTTTTTACAAGTTTTTCTCCAGCCAATTGATATAGTTTTCTGTCATGCGGCGTGCGATCAGGAAGTCAGTCGGCCACACGGTGAACATCAACCCTCCGTGGAATCCTGTGTCATAGTGTTCATGCGTCACTTCGACGCCGGCGGCACGGAGCCGGGTCACATACATGATCCCGTCATCTCGGAGAACATCATACTCACATGTCAGGACGTAGGCTTTTGGCAGTGAGCGCAAGGCAGAGTCTGGAACCAGCAGGGGCGACGCCCTCGGGTCGGCGAAAGGTCGAGACGGCCCGTCCATCCAAACTCCTGCTCCTCCGGCTCCCTCGGCCACGGCGGGGGCGGTGTAGTTGTATTTCTTGTGATAGGTTTCTGGCAGGAAGGCGCTCCAGTTGACAAACTTTAGCAGGCTGGAAGACTCAGGGTTGTTGTGAGTGTTGGCCATCATGGCTCTGAAAAGAGCCTTGTCGCTGGTGAAGTACTCGCTCCAGAAACGCACCATGAGGGTGCGGGGCAGAATGGGCATATCCTGATTTTGCTGATAGGAAGGCGTGTTAAGATCCAGGGCCTGCAGTACCGGGTAGATGAGAGCTTGGGCCTTCAGCCTGACCTCCTCTCCAGGCTCTTTTTGTAACTGGGAAGAGAGACGGTAAAATATTGGCAACTACATAAGTATTTCTCAATCCAACATTGCATCTACAAGTCATGGTTGTTTACAGGAACCATTGCATCACCCCAAGTAATCTGCATTTGTTTGTCTTGTCACGAGCTGTTGAGAACTAAGAACTAATTTGGGGACATTTACAGCTGGTCTTCAAATGTAAAAGGTAAAACTGAGAAATGTGAGTGGGAAAGTGCCACAATGGAGCAAAATATGATAGAAGGAGAGGAATTGAAACTGCTTTTGTGGAAGACTGGCCATCCACTACCACATTAAAACAGGGTAATCCATTAGCAGTGTGATGTGCCGGGCTCGGTTGTACCAGAAGCTGCAGGACAGTAAGCACTGTGTCAGACAGCGGTTTTGCTTCCAGCGACTCGGCTTAGAGCTCCTTGGACTGTCCTTAAGGGAAATATGTATCACCCTGACTGGGAGTTGTCAGTGTTTGGTCTTTGAAATGTAACCCTTTCCGTTTGTGCTATGAGTTCATGGAAGGGTTTGCAGTCAGCTCCACCTTCTTGAGCCATCCCCAAAAAACAAGATGGCTATGACCAAAGAACTATTTGTTTTTGTCTACGTGTCTTTTACATTTTGGTTTTCAAAATGTGAGACTGCTTCCCTCCTTTCCAGTAGCAGAGCAAACTCCAGTGCAAATAAAATGATCACAGACGGGCACGAGAAGAAAACTGAGGGACTCGCGCAGAGTCCTTTAAAGTCATTATTGGCTCGGTGGGCTGTTTTCACAGTTGCTAGAGAAACAGATTGCAAGAGATGTAAGAGGGCTGCATTTAATTATAGTGTTTTCAATACAAGTAGTGCTCTCAGCTGAACGGAGTTGTCACTATACTGGTTCATAGACAAAGCGTGGTCTTTTTCCACTGTGTGTGAAACTGTACTACAGCTGCAGGTTAGTTTGAGAGAATTCACAATAACTTAAATCACTTTCCTGAAAGCAAATTCCAGAGAGATTAATGTCAGATTGCTGAACTCCTCACTTGTGTAGTTTTTTTTCTTCATATATACAACACCACCACAGGTTTTCTTATTAGTGAATATGAATCATAGAAATCAGCTCAACATGAAGGTATGTACCTGCTGAATAGTCTAAACAAAGTCATACCTGATCACATGAGGCCCAGCAAAGAGCCCCCATCACAACACTGTACGTTATAAACTGCCTCATTAACATTTCCTCACGCAGCCACTATATATATAATATAGAGCTGCCACGAAAAGAAAAAAACGCAAATTCAGTACCTGCTGCGAGACAGCAGCTGCCAGGTTCCCTCCAGCACTGTCCCCGGACACAGCAACGCGCCCTGGGTCCACAGAGTACTTGGCCAGCACCCCCTTCTGGAGGAAGTGTTTGACCACACGGTACACGTCCTCATACGGGACAGGGAAGTGGTGAGCAGGGGCCAGTCTGTACCTGGGGGTGGGACAGAAAGGTGCAGATTAACGCAGAAGCGTAAATAAACATGAGCTTTGGATGCCATGTGCACAGACAACATGTAGAGCCATGGAATACAAACTTTGAGACACATTTAGGGTGATAACCAGATCATCTGATTAGGCGGGATGGAAAATGTTTTTAAATACACAGTGCTGGATGTTGCCATATTCACAAGCAGTTGTTTCCTTATTTCATTTGGCCGTGTTTTGGAGAAGAAATAAGTCCATTGAAATTGGATATAATAATGTTTTTTTTATGTTAAGAATTATCTCTTTATTCGAAATCCAACTCTCAGTGGTAAGAAACAACTACTGGTAATATAATGTATATGTTTACTATGCTGTAATAATACAATGACTATTTCTCTACAGGAGTGTATCCCCTGTTCAGACGCCTAGCACAGGTGTAAAATTAAATATAATTAAACATTCTCATATGCACCGCACAAAGTATCTACCAACTTTAAGTGTTGCAACAAATAACAAATTACCGACAGGAATTTGGTTGAGGCAGAAAGGCAAAACCCTTACACGGCAAGTATGATGTGTGAACAATATAGGCCTCATACAGACACACAAAAAAAGGAAAAATATCATGTGATGACTGCGTGCGGGACTCTCAACCTGATGACTTTTAAAGGTAAAAATGAATATCGAATTAGAGGACAGAGAGAGTTACAGAGTTAGAGTCGGACGGGCCAAAGAAAAAACATTTGTGTAGCTGAGGCAGAGAGGCCGGGCGAGACCCAAATGAAATCCTGTTAGCTTCACTCTACTGCATCCTCCCTTCCATCTAGCCTGTGACTAACGAGGGAGGACAGGCTCATATGGCTACAGGACACTGTGTGAGGGGGTGAGAGAAAGAGTTTGGGGAACTGTATGAAATATGAATTATACAAATGAAACTGCAATTCCTGCACTATTTTACAGTAGCTGCATATAGCTTGCCATAAAATATGAATCACTTACTCCACAGACAGAACCACTGCATCGAGCTCGGTGACGATTTTTCGGGCCAGGAGATCGTATGGACTCATCCCTGCGTGGACGGAGAACACAGACAAAACCAGTATCGTCATTACACTGCAGTAACAGTGATGAACCTGCCTCCTGGCAAGTTGTGCGTCACTGTAATAGTTACAGCCGTCCAACAGCTTGCAACAACAGCATGAGATGTGTCAAACTGCATGCAAGTTCGCGTCTTTGCGTTATGGATTAGAGAGGGGAACCACCCTCTGAGTTTCCCACCGCGCCAACAGACGGTGTGTTATTTCCTCTGGAAAGTTGGAAAGCTTTGTGCCTTTTGTACTTTGTTCAAAATGTATGACCAGAATAGCTGTGAGTAGAGTGGTTTTAAAGCTGTAAAGAAATCATTTCAACATCAGAACACGTCTTAAATAAAATAGCAGGATTACCATGTGCTGAACACAGGACTACGTTTCACTCATTCACCCATCCATCCATCTTCCCTCCAGTAATTCATTCTGTGTGACGAAGGAGCAGACAGGCCATCCTATTGACTTACGGGAACTACCCAGACACCATCCTCCCCCGTGCAGGTATATGACAGCTCTCATGAGCTCAGCGTCACCATCTTTCTGCTTTGGCTGGTAGAGCACCACCTCCACTCCGTCAAACGTCTCCTCCGTCACCTCGACGTGCTCATCAGACACGGGCACTACCCTTTCAGCCAGCGTGATGAAGTACATAATCCCCATGTAGTCTTTCAGTCCCAGCAATTCACAGAGGTCTGCCTGGAAGGTGAAGCACAGAGACTGCATTACATGTGAAGACAGACGCACCCGGGCCGTTAGTAGCAGTTTGCCTCACCTCGTAATCCAGGCTCATAGCATGTGAAGCACAAAGGGTAGATATGCTAAACTGCATGGCCATATTAAAGAGAAAGAGAGGGAGACTATAGTCAAAAGTTCCCTGAAGTTATTTTTTTTTGAAAAGTGGAAACTCTATAATCGTTATAACAGCGTGATTCATACCCCATTACGTCTGATGAGGCAGGCAGGCAGTGGCTGGCACAAGGCTAATCAGCTGATTCTCTGCGGGTGTCAACACAACACACTGAAAAAGGCATTCGAGAAACGTCTCTCTCTCTCTTTTTTTAGTTTTAGTTCAGGTGAAAACCTAAAAATATTTAATATGGTTTGTCGACAACATACAATGCTTAATCTAATTACAACATGATATTGAAAATGTAATCAATCATTTGACCTCTGTGGCTCTGACGTCATTAGGGAACAAAAACGTGTCAAAAAACTATGAATTTATATATCCATTTTATTTTCCACTTTCGCTAAATTAAATGTTTTTAACTCATTATTGTCTATCCTAGCATATAACAACCATTATATTCCTGATGATTCACAACAATACTGATTTTGATGCATTGCAGTGCTCCATAATACAGCAGCAATAACCCCTGTGGAAATAGTTTGTGGATGCTCTGTTGGCCGAACATGAGAAAATGACTCTGCACTATTTGGAAGGCAGTGCTGTGGAGATAAAGGCTGCTATTATAACACGCATGATGCCTTTGTGGCCGTGGTATCAAAACCTTCTGATTACGGGCCTCAATGGGGAACATTCTTGTCTTTACCGGTTGCAGTTTCTATAGATTGATGAAACTTTTTTTTTTTGTGGATTTATTACAGAACTCACACACTCAAATGTGTGTCACGTGCAAAAAGAATCCAAATAGAATGAAATACCAGAAACAATGTCCTGTTTAAACAGCTGCGTGCTCCAGCTTCTCTCAGTGTGAAATATTTCATCACACATAATCAAACTACCACAACACCTTTTTAATTGCAGAAATGTGATGCTTTCCAGGGAGCCACATGTGTGTCACAACGAAGCCACCTCAGCTCACGATGGCACAGTAAACCACAGGTGTCCAACCGTCAGACACGGAGTGGAGTTTGCTTATTAGGGTCTATTATTAGAACAGGTGAGCAGGACTATACAACACATGGATTAGCATCTGACATAATCTGCTGTAACAAGCATTATTATGCACATCAGCAAAATACAATACACGTTTAACGTGTAACCTTACTTGCAGAGAACACAAAAGACAACGTTGTGTGTGGGTTGACTAAACGCCTTAATCATGAAATAAGAAATGCGTTTATATTCACCCACCCGGGCTAGATAGAACCTTTCTATTAGGGATGCATCCCCGTAGTAATTATCAATAGGACCAGTGGACCTAATGCAAAAATATACACTACGAGACTCACAAACTAGAATAGTTTGTTTTATAAAATAGCTACAACAGTTGTATATTGTTTTGCTTACCAGGTGGCTGAGACTTCTGAAGAAAGAGTTGGTCAGCATGAGTTTCCATCTCTCCTCTATCTCCTCGGGAACAGGCTCGTAAATATAATAAGCGGTAAAAGAGCAGAGAGCGACGATTAAAACGATGCTTCCCAACCTCATTTTACAACGCGCGTGACGGCAGGGTGCAAAAAAAAACACGAACAGGCTGTTGTGCGCGCTCGTCCGTCGCTGTGGTGCGCGGTGCCAGCTTACGCTCGTAGATCCGGACCAGCCTAAATGTGACAGCACGTGTTCGGTGTCATTGCATGGATATTACCGACGTGCATGTGCTTTTTTTTTTTTTTCGCTGCTCGTGCGCGTTCCGTCATGCACGTTCGTCCTCGTGGAGCGAGGAAAATTAAAATGAAGTGTTTTTTTTTTTTTTTGGAGACAGGGGGCTGGCGTGGCGGGGCGGGGGAGAGGCGCGCGCCCGGTTGCACTCACGAGGCAGAACCGTCCCGCCTTGGCCGCGCGCCGCAGATTCCTCAGGTGCCCTCTTACCGCGTAGTAAAAGCAATTTAATTGTCACGGTTTGGAAAAAGTAATAACTACTCATGCATCCAAACTTTGTTTCACTCCTTCACGTTTCGTCGGGGGTGGGGGTGCTGATTAATGCAGGTGTTGCAGATATGCGGCGCTAATTCTATTTCCGGTGGCCCAGTCAGATGAGATGTCTCGTTCCCTGCCAGGACTCGGTGTCCATGCAATGTGACACTCATGCACGCACCTTTCGACAGGACCCAGCAAGAGGAACTTATTTGGTTCTGAAGGAGTTTGACAAAGACCGTGCCCCCCCCCAACAGTATGAGTTATGGTTTTCACTACAACATTCATGGAGACGTGACGTTTCTTGACAGGTCCAGACCAGTTATTTTGAGCAGAATTACTTCTCACATGGGTGGATTAGACAAGTATTTACAAACCACATCCTTACCAGAGTTTTACACAGAAGAAAGCTTCTTTGAAAAAAATATTTATGACAGAGATTAACTCTGAGGCATAATACAAAACAGTCACTCTTTAGTATTTTCACACTGTCAAAAAGAAACAACAAGTATAACCTTAATCTGGTAAGCACAGGAGTAGGGGGATCTAAAGTCAACTTCAGGCACTAAGGTTTCTTGATGGAGGATTAATGCAGAGATCAAAAAAGGCTTAGTGCTATACTTCACATTCTCTCGTTTTACATTTAGTTTGTTTCGCAGTTGCATCGTCTAAGACACATACACCACATACCGCAACGTGACTTTGCTTAAACCTTGGGTCATTTCAAACTTCCTCTCAGTCAAACTGGATTTTGTAATTGTGTTTGGGAGCAGGCGAGTGTCTCCTTCCATCAGCCATCAAACTCCGCTGAGATTCAATCTGTGGGAGCCGGGGTGTGACGGAGGCTCGGTGAAAGCCTGTGAGAGACGGATCACTGCTGAGCAGTAGAATAGTAAATCTCCTCCCTGAATACAAAATGACACTTCAGACACTCGCCGATTCTCACTGGATTTCCCTCCCTTCTTGTTTTACGCCTCCAACCGCCTCAGCTTCTAAGGAAGACCACCTCAGCTGGTTGGTAAATCTTTCATGGAGCTCTCTCCACCATCCTCCGGGTGGGGAGCGCCGTGTCAGAGGGTGCGTGGGTGAGCATGTTGTCTTCATCTCGGTAGAGCCGTGCTGTGCAGCGAGGCCGCCTGACGCCCTGCTGTGCGTGTGCGTGCGTGCGTGCGTGCGTGCGTGCGTGCGTGTGTGTGTGTGTGTGTGTGGGTAGCTCAAGCAGATGTAGAAATGTCTGATGACTCAAACAAGGAGTTTTGAGTACTGTCTGAATGTGTTATAGAGCGAGCACTTGGCCCTGTTTCATTTAACACATCTACAGAGGCACCTCAAATTCTTATAATTAATGATCCTTAATCCAGACCTCCACCGCCAGTGGGGCGTATGAGTGCAAACCTGTTACATTCGTTTGCTGAGGTAAAGTAGATTGGCTGCACAATCAGAGGCGTTCGAAGGCAATTAGAGCAAGAATTTGTCTTTTTATACAATAATTAAGAAATTGCTAGCTTCAGCCAACTGATATAAACTTGAGTTTAACACTCTTGAGCAGTTGTGCTAACAATCTCATGGGTTTAACATTTCCAAATAGATTAGGGTTATTCCTTCTCTGGCTCACTTTTCATGAAAAACAGAGTTTTTATGAGTATCCCACTTAGAAAAAAATACTCAAAGCATACCAATTCAAGTCAAGTTCATTTATAGAAAATATCACAAAACAGCCTTGAGGACCAAACACTTTGGTCAACAACACCCTCTGTCCTTCACTTATAACGAGGACAAACTCTCCCAAAAACCTACAAAACCCTTTTGAGTTATTTCTTCCCAAAAGGCGAATACTGCAATGGCAAACAAACACCTAAATCCTTTATTGGGTTTTCAAACGATCAGACATGTCTGAGTCCGATACTGTGCTAAACTGTTAAAGCCATTTTCAATGTGGATTCATACAATTTCTTGCAATGATAATCCCACAAGAAATATAAACCTTTGTCTATGTATTATTTTTCCATACCGCTAATGGAATGAATGTAGTATGAGGTGATATTTGGCATTTCAGCTTTGACCTTGTCATCGCATAAGAGTTCTGAACAGTTCTGAAAGTCCAGAAGGAAGACTGAAATACATCATCGTATTACGAAGTGTTGCAAAGTGTTTGAAATCATACTCAACACTGGTGTAATATCCATAAACAGAATATTAATTAATACTATTCTTAAGTGGGAAAAGAATTGACAACACACGGCAAGTCAAAACATCTCTCCGACACAAAGTAACACTATATATGAACGTTGCATCAAGTACACATTAAAGTGTCAGTGTAGCAGCATGCACACATTTGTGTGAGTTTGCCAAAACTATCTTGCAAGATTTGCTCAGTTTATGGCGAAAAAACAATGTGTTTTGTGCTTGTTCAAATCCAAGTTCAGCCATATGAAAGCATTTTCAAATCCTGTTTTAAAAATAGAGGAGCCACTTTTCACAGATATTACATGTTCATACACGCAGCTATATGAGTGAGGTACAAAGTTAACCATAGTTAATAAAAAATACTCTTATGACAGATAAAATACTTTCCCGTTTGTTCCATTAAACTATTGCCAGTTGGTCCAGAGAGGAAACCAAAACATTATCTGTGCTGAACAAGAAATGCAGAGGAGTCTATTGCACCGAGTTGGGCCAAATTCTCTGAATATCTCGTCCACTGACTTGTGCCAAATCATTAAAACTACAGTGAGACGATGGAATGGAAAATGTTTTGTTTTCCATGTCATGACTGATCTAGTCATGTATCTGTTTACAGTAATCCTGTGTGGCTAAACTGGATAAACCAACTGGCTTTGGTTTTGTGCTGTAGGCCGGAAGCGGAGACACAACCCGTCTCTTTGTAATTATGAGCCTGGCAGGCGTCCTTCTGTTGTTTGTCCGTCCTTTTGTCACTGATCCAACCGAAATACTGCGCATGGTGCGTCGCAATTTATTGCTTGTTTTTAAATACTTTAGTTATTCTGTCGCGGTAACTTGTGTGTGTGTGTATGTTAGAGAGAAAGTGATTGACTACTAAATTAACTGAGGAATGAATATATAATATTTAGATACATAATGAATAAAGTAGTAAATCCAATAAACGAAAGGTTACAGCCTGGATCAGCTATAAACGATAGTGATGGAAGTCACAATTTTGAATGGATTGTTAAACAGAAGGTTTATGAAGATTACATAAAGTAATTATGGAATTACCACTAAAATGTTTTTTTCATTCCATCTCAATCAGTAACTATGCTGGCCTTAGTAAATTGTTTCTTTCTTGGAGACTAAGCTCCACAACCAACACTTGCCGTCACATGTTACTGTATTAGTTGCCCCTCACAGGTATAAATGATAGAAACGTCTTCATCTGCAATCCACCTTTTAGGCAGACGATCTACGTTAATAAAAAAGATGTAGAGGCTGCACGTAATGTCAAAGGCAGCAACGATCCAAGCCTTTGTTGTGTCACATTAGAAAGTGTTGAAGCTTCAAAACACTATCGAAGTAGCATATGAGCTCAAATGTATTTAGGATGCAACCAAGCAACCAAGCAACATTCTTCATTCTATTTTATTGTAAACAAATATAGTGGAAAGAATAAAGCCAGCAAAATATTTATTACACAAAAAGCCTCAATATCTGTCCAAAAACTAGAATGAGTGTAGTAAATGAGCCACAGCATTGGAATGTGTGAGTATGGTGTACGTTATGTCTCTTCCTTACAAGAAACACTCAAATAAACTATAGAACTAAAATAAGTAGAATCTAAATGCCAGCTGTATCTTTAAAAATATCACCAGATCCCCAACCCACCAAAACATCCATTTGACAAAACAGGTTTATACAAACTAAGTAGTGTATTGGTAATGGATATTACTGTATGAAATACTATAACAAACTGTTCTTCAACACTTCCTACATCAATCCATTAAATCGCTACAGATGACAGACAAAAGAAATAAACATGTGTTTGGCATTAGAGCTAAGTTCCAACTTGCCGTTTCCCTCCACCCTTGACTTCAAACTCCCTTGGAAGCCATTGAGGAAAAATATTGTGTGTAAGAGCCTGACCAAGCTTGTACTTTCTGTGCTGTGCACGTGTAAGCAAACTTTAGTTCTCATCACGTTCTTCACCAGATTTACTCAACGTGACTACTAACCCATAGCAGCACTAAATATGTTCAAGTTTATTGTGTCCACACGTTGCGTCATGATCATGGGACTGGGTGTAGGAGAACGCAGTAGATAAGCTCTTTATCAAAACTTGCCTATGAATGACTTTAGTCATAAGGAATGTTGGCCCCTCACCTCATTCCACATGAATTTGTTCTGTTATCACCTGACACAAGGATGGCAGAAGGCATTCGGATCTAAGACTTACCTCAAGATGCTAACATGTTGGCGGTGGATATGTGAACCAAATGATATTGTAGTAACTAAAAAACACATATTTCAATCTCATGTTGGCTCTCGAGAGAATGTCAGGTGTCAGGGTTGGGGGTGGAAGGCAGGACTCAAACGCAGACTTTTCCAAAACAAAAGACTTTAATAATCAAAAGGTCCAAAATCCAAAAGGCAAAAACACACAAGCATGAACCTACGGGGGCGAAAGACAAGAACAGGACATGCGTGGCAAAAGACAATGACGCGACAAGTGACACAAGAGACACACGGCTTAAATACACTAGGGAGGTGCAGGTGATTGGACACAGGTGTAAACTATTAAGACGATCACAGGGGATGACGGGACAAGGCAGGAAGTGAAGTTACCCGGGG